CCACAAGAATGGCACGTAACCCCTTTTGCCGGACAGGGTTTATCTGCGGGATGTGGGAACCGACCACCACAATTCCTGCATGTGACTTTCTGTCTGGTCGCTTGCTGTTTTCCACGAGTGCGAAATTGGCGTTGGACAGAGTTCGGATTTGAGGGCTTGTCATGACGCGTAGCAGCGACAGTTGATTCTCGAGATGTAGCACTCTCCATCTCGGCTGCATACTGATCAGATTGCTCGAGCGTGCGGGCAGTATGAAGAAGTTTTTCGAGTGTAACAGTTTCACGAAGTGCGTACCTCCTCAAATGTTGCGATGTACACCCAAACACGATTTGGGATTTGATTTCCGCAGTTTTGTCCGAGAATTGACATGATGAAGCTAACTTCTGCAAACGGAGATGATACTGAGCAACAGTTTCATTGTTCAATTGTTTACACTGACGAAACAGATAACGTTCATATTCCACATTAACAGACGGAACAAAATGTTTCTCTAGCGCTTTAATGGCAGCAGAGTAAGATGTGGCTGTGTCTGGAAGTGTTTCAAAGATTTCCTGCACATCAGGACCGGAATAGTGCAGGAGCAACGCTCGCTTCTGGGCATCGTCTGTTACAGCAAATGCAGTGAAAAAGTTCTCTAGCCGTTTCACGTATTTTCCCCATCTCACACCCACGGTCGCGAGATCATCATGGCACTCAAAACGCTCAAACTGGGGTAAATTCATGTTGAAATGTTCTCAAAGTAACTTACGCAGTGACTCGAGGGACTGTGTCCATGAAAGTTCAGGTTCATGACGAAATCACACATCTTCGTCGCCAAATGTAATGTTTTGGTCCTTATTTAGACAGCCGAAAGAACGACACAACAGCCTTCAATCACATGGTTGATAACGTGTGTGTATTCTCTGTTCAACTTCCATATTACAATACACTATACATTGTTCTTGTACGAGTAACCAATGACAACCAGAAAGTATGGAATGCTAATTGTGCAGTTGTTCAAGATACTACATATAGTACTTGCATATGCGCAAAATGGTCATTTTCCTCGACGACATAAATATACGAATTATTTCTCCAATTTAGTCAGCATCATAGCTATATATTTTAATGCAGGCGCGGAGCTAGGATCTTATTTTAGGGAGGGGCGGTAGTGAGCAAGAGAATCACTTAAAAGCGCGCTCATTAGGGGGGTGTGAGTGATGGGCCTCCCGCGCGAAGCGCGAAAGCTTAGACGTTTCCTTAAATTATTAGGAAAAGAAGACGATTAATTGTACCGTTTTCGATTGGTAATCCTTGGCTGAATGAAGTTTTCCCCTCCTCCCGCGCAAAGCGCGGAAGCTTTGACGTTTCATTAAATTATTATAAAAAAGAAGACGATTTGCTGTACTGTTCTCGACTGTTTATCCTTTTCTGAATTCAGTTTCTCCCCCACCCGCGCGAAGCGCGGAAGCTTTGACGTTTCATTAAATTATGAGAAAAAGCAGACGATTCGGTGTACTGTTCTCGACTCTTAATCCTTGTCTGAATTCAGTTTCTCCCCCACCCGCGCGAAGCGCGGAAGCTTTGACGTTTCATTAAATTATGAGAAAAAGCAGACGATTCGGTGTACTGTTTTCGACTCTTAATCCTTGTCTGAATTCAGTTTCTCCCCCACCCGCGCGAAGCGCGGAAGCTTTGACGTTTCATTAAATTATGAGAAAAAGCAGACGATTCGGTGTACTGTTCTCGACTCTTAATCCTTGTCTGAATTCAGTTTCTCCCCCACCCGCGCGAAGCGCGGAAGCTTTGACGTTTCATTAAATTATGAGAATTAAAAGCAGACAATTCGGAGTACTGTTCTCGACTCTTAATCCTTATCTGAATGAAGCTTCCCCCTCCCGCGCGAAGCGCGGAAGTTTTGACGTTTCCTCATATTATTAGAGAAAGAACACGATTCGTCGTACCGTTTTCGACTCTAAATAAGCCCTATTAATTTTGTCTGAATTCAGTTTCCCCCCTCTCGCGCGAAGCGCAGAAGCTTTGACGTTTCCTTAAATTATTAGAGAAAGAAGACGATTCGTTGTACCGTTCTCGACTCGTCTAAATGAAGTTTTCCCCTTCCGCGCGAAGCGCGGAATTTTTGGCGTTTCATCACAATATAGAGAAAGGAAGACGATTCATCGTACCATTTTCGACTCTTATTAAGCCCTATTCATCTGAATTCAGTTTCCCCATCTCGCGCAAAGCGCGAAAGCTTTGACGTTTCCTCAAATTATTAGAGAAAGAACACGATTCGTTGTACCGTTTTCGACTCGTCTAAATGAAGTTTTCCCCTTCCGCGCGAAGCGCGGAATTTTTGGCGTTTCATCACAATATAGAGAAAGGAAGACGATTCATCGTACCGTTTTTGACTCTTATTAAGCCCTATTCATCTGAATTCAGTTTCCCCAGCTTGCGCGAAGCGCGAAAGCTTTGACGTTTCCTCAAATTATTAGAGAAAGAACACGATTCGTTGTACCGTTTTCGACTCTAAATAAGCCCTATTAATTTTGTCTGAATTCAGTTTCCCCCTCTCGCGCGAAGCGCGGAAGCTTTGATGTTTCCTTAAATTATTAGAGAAAGAAGACGATTCGTTGTACCGTTTTCGACTCGTCTAAATGAAGTTTCCCCTTCCGCGCGAAGCGCGGAATTTTTGGCGTTTCAACACAATATAAAGAAAGGAAGACGATTCATCGTACCGTTTTCGACTCTTATTAATCTTATTCATCTGAATTCAGTTTCCCCATCTCGCGCAAAGCGCGAAAGCTTTGACGTTTCCTCAAATTAGTAGAGAAAGAACACGATTCGTTGTACCGTTTTCGACTCGTCTAAATGAAGTTTTCCCCTTCCGCGCGAAGCGCGGAATTTTTGGCGTTTCATCACAATATAGAGAAAGGAAGACGATTCATCGTACCGTTTTCGACTCTTATTAAGCCCTATTCATCTGAATTCAGTTTCCCCAGCTTGCGCGAAGCGCGAAAGCTTTGACGTTTCCCCAAATTATTAGAGAAAGAACACGATTCGTTGTACCGTTTTCGACTCTAAATAAGCCCTATTAATTTTGTCTGAATTCAGTTTCCCCCTCTCGCGCGAAGCGCGGAAGCTTTGATGTTTCCTTAAATTATTAGAGAAAGAAGACGATTCGTTGTACCGTTTTCGACTCGTCTAAATGAAGTTTCCCCTTCCGCGCGAAGCGCGGAATTTTTGGCGTTTCATCACAATATAAAGAAAGGGAGACGATTCGTCGTACCGTTGTTGACTCTTAAACCTTGTTTGAATTTAGTTTCCCCGAAAATTTTAGGCCTCTGATTTCTTTAGCTGATATTATAGGAAAGTGAAACTTCGAGAAAATACAAGTATTGTAGTCACTCTCGAAGTCTTCACAGCGGATAAGAAGTCACAGTTCGTAGGGAAAAAAACTTGTCGGCCGACCGACAATATACATCTCACCGACTTCAAACTTCTGCATTGATATAGTACACGAGGATCGAGCAAGAATACCGACACAGCTGACCCGACACAACAACATATTTACCTGTGTCTTTCTTGCTCCCTCGACGAGACGACTCCACCTAACAACCCCCTTTTCTCTTTTACTCCCACTCCTCCTCTCTCAGACTCTTACCTCCCCTCTCTCTCCTCTCTTTCATCCCCCGTTTCTTTTGTTTCCCTCTCACTCTTTTTTCTTCTTTTTTCCTTTTCTTCCTTTTCTTTCTTTTCCTTTCTTTCCTCTCCTCCCTCTTCTTCTTTTTTCTCTTTCTTTCTGCTCTGCTCTTTTCTTTCCTTTCTTTTCCTTTCTTTCCTTTCTTTCTTTTCTTTTCCTTTTCTTTTTTTCTTTTCTTTCCCTTTCCCTCTCTTTTTTTCCCTCTCTTTTTTTCCCTCTCTTTTTTTCCCTCTCTTTTTTCCCCTCCCCCTTTTCTCTTTTTCCCGACGGCAGCGCAATTTTACCGACAATATCCTGACAGGTGGGGGGGGGTGTCGCACCCCCCCCCCCCACACCCCCCCTTTGGCGACGCCCCTGCCAGGGGGTGAGTTTGGGTAGGAGAGGTTCTAAAAGAATAATTTTCTTTTTTTTTACTGGAGGCGGGGTGTTTTAGGTATTCTTGTTTTTCTACTTGTGCCTCTCTCGAATTCATTAATAAACAAGAATTCCGGGGGGGGGGGTAGGGCTCGAGTCCACAAACCCCTTCTATAACCTCTTTTGAGCTTGGGTCACAAAAAAGTGGATAACAAAAAAGAGGTTATTGTTCGCTTAGTTAGCTTATTACTTAGGGGAAATAAACATCAACAACCGCTATGACAACAAACATCAGGTCATTTTAAATCTTATCAAATTGGGTCAGCTTTGATCAGTTGATCAGTTACAAAGTCATCTGTAATATCAACCCACCAGACACAATTGTATCTGATAAGGGGAGTATGGGTTTTCTTTTTAGAAGACCTTTAGATCTTAACATGGTAATACAATGTTTGATTTTGACCACACTGTTGTATGTCTCAAACAAATGGTATTTGATTGACAGCAAACACGCAAGAAGAATTGGGCACAGTGAAAAGCCAACACAACGGAGAGGAGATCTAAACATTGGGTCGAAATATTGAGTACTCCTTTGTTTAAATAGTGAGACTATTATGCAATGCCCATCAGGTGAAGATGTACCGGTGTTTTTTTTTTCTTCAAACATAGGTTCCGAAAATGTTTTTCCTGATAAAGATGGTTGCAAGAATCTATATACACGGTCATTGTTACGCTGCTTTTATCATACGGTTGTGGAAAGGGGTGTGTTATAGAGGTAGGCATTTGACTCCATGTTTTTAATATGGTTTTTCAAGCAAAGTCTACTCTCTTTTACTCCCTTCAAATTCACTGACCTATGTGTTATAAGACAGAAAAATTTTACGCGTAATATAACAATCGACGTCATTATTGAGGGGGAAATGCCTTAGAGAATAACAATAAAATTATGGAGAGATAGATTTACCTATTTTCTATGGGGATGAATTCACAGAATACTTCCGATGGTAGCATGATGTATTTCGAGTCTAGTCCCTTGACATCATGTAGCATAGCCACTGTGCCTTCAGTTGAGCTGTATACACTTGATATAATCGGTAGACCTGTTTGAAAACAAATGTGATTGAAACGTGTTGAAATATATTAAATATATATATATATATATATATAATATAAATAAACAACGGTCCGGACTTTAGGAAGCCATGGTATATACGATATTCATTAACGTTAGTATAAGCTTGTCAAACTTTTCAGTATATAAGTGACAGCTAAACTTGAACTTAAGAATTGAGACCGAGAATCGCATTAATCATGACTGATATAAACTAAAAATATTCGTTATTCCTCAAAATGATTCTACATGCAAAGTTTGCAACAACAACAAAAAAGGCACACAATAAAAGAAAACGTTAATCTTGATAACGCGAAGATTGAAAATCGTTGCCAATGACGATGAAGATGACAAACGCCATGGCTAAACCAGGGCTTCGGTTCAGTTCCCCCATCATTATCATTAAAACCGTGTTCCTATTTTGTTTGAGTATTTCCATTGATCATTGCAAATATTATTCTGGTGACGCTCTTGGCGATATTGAAACGATAACATTTACATAAACATTATTTGTACACGATTTTATGCTTTGAAGACAATGGAAAGTTAGTGAATCAATCTTACCTTTGGTGTACTTGTCTTTGAGTCTTCGAGCATAGACTACCATTGCTCCAGATGAGACAGCAAATATCGCTTGAAGATGTGGCCAAAGGCGACGGGCAATACAATCGAAACCTTTCAAGAACTCCTTCTCCACCTCATCCGCCCTCTCCGGCTCGGGCTGGAGCTCTGCTTCTAACGCAGCTCGGACACCGTCCACCAATTGAATGTGCTTGGCAATTTGTCCGTGTCTGAGGTCATTGACCAGGCTGGGCCAATCGTTTTCGAGTAGCTGGAAGAACGTGAACATTGTGGAGCAAAATATGGTGCCGAGGTTACCAAGGCAACGGTCCCTGAGTCCAAAGAGGGCATGGATGTAGAGCGCGCATCGTTCGTTCGTCAGTCGCATCCCTGCCGGTGGAGTACTGAACTGAATCCGATGAAGAATGTCAGGAAGGGAAAGCATAGATGTTGGGCAGATAGAAAGTCCTCCGGGAGATTTTAGAGGGTCAGTATGGACATAGAGCAAGCATTTCTTCTGTAACGGTGTCAACGCTGGCGTATATTGCACTTTAACGAAATGAAAGACCATGGGCATGATCTTGAAGAGAAAAGCAACGTTCCTTTCCTTTGAAATGGCTATCAGTTTAGGTTTTCCAGTCGTACCGGAAGTAATACCTAACCTTGATGGGAAACCAGGTATGACAATGTCGGATTCCCCTGCAGCAACCCGGTCCATGTACTTGGCGTAATGCGAGTATCTTGTCAAAGGATGCCTCTCTCTGAACTCTGCCACTGATTTGATTGTTCCGAAGTCGAAGTCCCTCCCGTACTGAGAATGGGATCGAATCCTCAACTGGTTCATGAGGAAGTTCTCCTGGCTTTGCTGACATCTAGCGCTGTCGCGTCCCAGTTTCCTAAGGAAGTAGGTCCCGATGAGAGTTTGTATCTGGAAGAAGATGTACTGGATGATCATGATGTGTGCGGGAGTGCAGTGTGGCGCCAGATAGAGTGAGATGTGAGTTGAAATGGCTACTCCGAGAGCCGCACCGATCAGGACTGAAACTGTTAGTGTGAAAATACGTCAAAATAATGTCAATAACAACAAAATAGAGTAGGGCTGGAGATGCCATAAGATGACATGCAAGGTCCACAAAGAGCAATTGCGACCGAGAAAATTACAGCAACACAATGTTATCAGTATGGAACAGAGGTCGGAACCAATGGCTACTATATATTTCTCAATAAATCATCCTTCTACTTGCTGATGCCATAATATGAAACTTTGGGAACTTAGAAGGGATTTTTCCTAAGGTTTTTACACCCTCCAAAAATTGTCATGAATTATCAAATTGATCATGTTCTCCTGTGGAGTATTGGGTTGGAGCCATTGTACCCTTTCCCATCAATATTCAAGATAATAAAAAAAAACATGAATTTATTTGAGATCATACACAATTTATCCTTCATAATAAAGACACTGCATGTTTGCCTCCCTCGCCCCTCCCCCCCCCCCCCCCAACTCCATAATAGTATACTATACACTGTTGGTCATAAAGGTGGAATAATTATTTTTACCCCAATTTATGGAATGATTTTGACAATGAATTATTGATAATTTATTGCATTTTCTTTGTTATTTTGTATTTGTGGGGCGGCCCCGTATTCTAGCTAAGTGGCTAAGCAGTGGCTAAAGCCCCAGTCCCATATAAAGCCGGACCAGCACGGACGAGCACGGACCACTCCGGACCATCCCGGACCATGGTCTGGGGTGATCCGGGATGGTCCGGGATGTTTTGTTCAAAAAAGTGTGATGCTTTAAAAGCTACAGTCCCATATACGTCCCGGACCGTCCCGGACCATCCCGGACCCCATCCGGGGTGATCCGGGATTCGGTCCGTGTTGACACCGTGTTGGCACCGGGGTGGTCCTGGATGGTCCTGGATGGTCCTGGGCGGTCAATAACTCACTCCCGGACTGCCACGGATCAACACGGACCGCCCCGGCGCCACTACGGATGACCCCGGACCCAGCACGGTGGCTACACGGATCACCCCGGATCAAACTATTGTCCCGGACCGTCCCGGACCACCCCGGCAGTTTTTGACCGTCAAAAACATCCGGGGTCGACTCCCGGACCGCCCAGGACCATCCAGGACCATCCAGGACCATCCAGGACCACCCCGGTGCCAACACGGTGTCAACACGGACCGAATCCCGGATCACCCCGGATGGGGTCCGGGATGGTCCGGGACGGTCCGGGACGTATATGGGACTGTAGCTTAAGCAGTGGCCTCGTTACTGTGCGAGCTCCAATGATCAAAACATGATGTGCTAGATTAGAGCCCTTTTGTGAGGCATTAATCTTCATTACTGTCCGTTATGACTTAAGGACGTAGGTCCCCTAGTTGATTAGCATAGTAGCACACACGTGCTTTAGCAGTCACGCAAAACAAACACTCACAAATTATTATTCAATAAAATCTGAGAATGTATACTATTATCTAGATCTATTAGGAGTAATTTATTGTCAAAATCATTCCATAAATTGGGGTAAAACTAATTATTCAACCATTATGACCAACAGTGTATAATGTTTAATTTAATGGGATTTTATATAACAATCAAAGTCTTACCTCGGCAGAAGTATAATAGATATGTTGGTGTGATTCCAAACAAGAGCTGCCATGCTAGATAGGTGAAGATCCCAAGACATGTCACTCCAAACAACTGAACTTTGTTCTTTTCGGACAGTCGCCATTTCATCAAATCTGAAAGGGAAATTTGAGATACGAAAAAATTAATCACAGCGAAAATGGTGTAAATTGGTTGACGTACGAATGGTCAGTCAATATAACTATTAATATACGGGTTTTCATTGCAACCTTCAAAAAGACTTTTGAATATCAATCTGAGACAATTTCAATATCCATGTCCATCCCTTATTGATGTGCGAATATTACAATGGCATATTACATAACTATTCCAAATGTGATTATTATGGTAAAATATAAAAGGGTATTGAAATTGCGGTAGGTTGATTTTTCACAAATCTTTGCGATCATGTTCGATATTAGTAATGTACATTCAAACCTGTATATTAAGGTTATCCAAGGGGTGACCTCCCAAGACAGTTTCTACAACACATCTTTCTTTCTGGAGGGAGACAAGATACGTGGATACTATATACAGGTGGTCTTTATAGAGAGGTGGCCACTTGACTGTAGAATGGGATATTCATTATTGATGAGTCGAGCACGCCTCGATATTACTAAATTATGTTGGCCAAATATAATTGCACATTCATTGCCATAAAGGGTATATGGAATGTTCATTTGAGAAGAAAAAATGTAAACCAGTGGTGTATGATTGTTATACGTTAAATAAGATTTTAACATTTCAGTATACATCAATATGATAAATCTATCAAGCTGATCGATAATTTATGCCAATCTGTGTTCATAATCCCATGATACAATTAAATAATGGGCCTTTATAGTTGGTAACTTATTGGTAATACATTGGGCTTATCCGTATTTTGTCTCATCGCGAGATAAGGTAATTAAAAGCAAAGATATATTCCCACGTAAACTCCTAAAGGGTTACGTAATGTCTAGATGTACCTCCATTGCCCCCCTCACAAAGGGTACAATAATAGGAAACCGGGCCAACTTTTGTCCCGGGGCCTTGGCAGCTTTCGTTTACAGACTTTTTTTTTTAAAGACGATTCATCGCCACAAAGGATTCTTTGCATCCAACTGTTTGCAGTCACAGGGCCCATGACAAATCGAAATACAAGTGTATTCCTGTTGGTGTACAGTCCTGCATACATCTCATATTCTGATATACTTTGTTTGATAGATTTTTAAATATTTTTTGAAATATTTACTTTTCAAACTTGCTAAGCTCCACCCCAAAAACCTCCAGATCTCATTCTACTTGTGACATCATCTGTCAGTCATCAATGAGCTAACTTGAGAAAGTGGCATGTTACTTTGCCAAAGTTGACCACCTGTTACAATACCACAAACAATAGCAACATGTTATAAGTTGCTATGTCAGATATGTCAGACAAAACTAATATTCTAGAATGGACAATATGTAATTTGCCCCAGCTTAGCACACGTTCATAATAGAGTTGCATGCTTCATGTACAATACATCATCATTGCCTTTGTCTTCTTGGTGATGCTACAGCATGTCTGACATAGCAAATTGTATGTTGCTATTATGTATTGTAGCAGGTCGGACTTCGACAAAGATACATATATACCACTTTCTCAAGTTAGCTCATTGATGACTGACAGATGATGTCACAAGGGGAATGAGATCTGGAGGTTTTTGAGGTGGAGCTTAGCAAGTTTGAAAAACAAATATTTCAAAAATATTAAAATCTATGAAACAAATTCAGAAGTTTACATTTCAAAATATGAGATGTATGCAGGACTGCACACCAACATGAATACACTTGTATTTCGATGTCATGGGCCCTTTAAGTCAACCTATCAAATAGATGTGATCATACCTTCTGGGAAATGAATCTAATGGACATGGGGGGCAGTAACGTGGGGAAGTCGTAAAGAATTTGCTTTTCGAACGCTTGAAGCCGGGGGGGGGGGACTTTACCTGAAAGAAGACCCGGGGGCAGTCGAATTAAGCATGTGCATGGACCTACTGCAGGTAGATCTGGTTTGATCCACGGTCGAAAACTAAAATTGGCGTGTAGTAGGTTCATGGTATAAGACGTCAATGTATTAATGTAATGCAGATACAGCTGGCAATACTTCTGTTCATGATCATAATTTAAGATGTCTTAATTGGCCTTTCCTGTAGGTACACGGCCCCTATACATTTAAGGACAAATCTTTTGACATTTCGATTAAAGTGCGGCTCTATCTATGCTCATCATACTCAGTGCTGACGCTCTTATTAAAGAATATTCCCTAATGTTGGTTGATTGTCTAAGATTGTAAGATGATAATATCAAATTAAAGTTGAAACCATGATGACTAAGCAACTTCGCAATGTACATAGCTGCGGTGACCCTGGCTTAACTAGAAATGTAAAACTTAAAGGAAAACAAAACACCTTGCGCAAACATTCTTTATATACGTTAGCGATCTAGCGCGATCTCTTCGACACTATAATTTACAAAAGAGATGCAGTTAGAAATGTTTGTTTAACGTCTTACATTTTTGTCCTAGCCAACCCCCTTCCCACACTCTACCAGGTGGGAGTGAACAGAGCGCAGGTAATGTAGAAACTAGAAACCATATAATAATGCATCCTGAATGGTGTGTCTTTCGGTAAAGAGGAGAGGGGAAATTAAGTCAACTTACAAGTCGGTATATCTGTACGATTAATATGATGTATGATGTTGTTAGTTCAAAACAGGATCGAAATATACAGTAGGCTTGCGGTTTCATCATCCTCGCTGCAAGCAACAAAGAAGTATATCGCTACCAATTTCGATGTGAAGAAGGAGGGGATTGGGGAGACCGGGAAAGGACTATATGTAATCTTTCTTAACTTATAGTAATTTCTAGGGAGAACTATAGCGCCGGTTGGAGAGGATGGGTAGTACTGCTATACGTGGTTCGACGTTTCGAAAAGGTTTACTATCCGTCGTCAGGATCGAAATAGTAGAGTATTATAATTGGAAGTATTTCAATAACCAAACAGGTTTATTTACATCAGTATTCCTCCAATTTGTGTTTAGAGAATTTCTTTATTTGTATTACATTACTGAATATATATATTAAAACGCTCCGTACTGCTTCCCGTAATCAAATTAAAATCACTTCGAATGGAAACTGCACGACTTGTGACCAAACATGGGGCAATCATGTTAATCGAAATGTTTAACAGGAGAAAGTGGAACACGACTTAATTTTGCAGACTCATTCTACCACAATGGAACGACAAACTAGCGCCGTGGGCTATTATTATGTAATGGTTCGCCGTCTTTTAACTGTTCAAGGGTGCAGTTAATGCAGCTCCAATTCATCACCACCATCGTCATCATCATCATCGCTTAAAATAGAATCAAGCACAATATAATGGACACTCTAGTGAAGTCTGGTTATTGTGAGCATATGCGCACACCGGTTGTACACTCTGGTGGTGCAGGGTCGGATATGACGTCAATTTGGGCTGATCCTTTCCGCAAACTTTGAAAACAAAAAAAAACTTCGATCTGTATATATCACACTCTACGTGCATGCACGTTTTGAGGCGGCACATTGGCTATCACGTGGACATCTGAGAAACCAACCAATAGGAGTGAATTAAGTCCATTTCTCTTCTAGCTGTCCTATTTCCTTTTCTTCTTTTTCTCCTTAATCCTTTTTGTCTTTCTTCTTCTCCCTTTCTTTTTTCTTCTTCTTTTTTCTTTTTTATAACATTTAATGGGGGGGGGGGGGAGGAAATAAAATCGTTTTGAGATAAACCAGCCATTAATAAGAACGTTACGAAATAATGAAAGTTGGAAGAACCTGCGGCTGTGGGGAACCGTTCATTTGCAATAGGCCATTTTCGTAATGTAACCGAATTCACTTTAATATGATGCACAAATCTTTGTTAGGTGCTTCGTAACAAATGATTTCATTCACCTGTAACGAATATTAATTTCATTTCAATAGTCAGAATATTAATTGCATTTATTACGTGATGTTAGGTAGGGCAAGCTATAATGTTTTTGCCCTACCTAGCAAAAAGTTATGTATGCAATTTAATTTCTGACTAATGAGGTACATATTTTATTCGTAACAGGTGAATGAAATTTGGGCACTTCAAAATGACGTATACAAAATTATGCACTGAATTTGGAAACATAACGAAAATGGTCTAATCAGATCCGATGTGTGATATCATAACTCCCGAACTCCCAAACAGGAGCTTCTGAACTCGCCGATCCCGTATTTCTCCTGGAAGAAGACGGTCAAATCCACCGTCACAGAGCATAGACATGAAAAGACAGCATCTGCTACATCCACCAAATCGACTCTCAACATTATGGCCAGCCTACACCCTTCAGAGACACCACACCTACTTCCCAGGAAAACCCCGTTTCCACACCTTAGACAAGCCATCCCATCAAATGCCAATTACTTTGCGGCATGTACCGAACCAACCAACGATTGGCTACCTTGTCAAATGGCTCACAGAGTCCAGCATGTCCCTGCCTGACTGCGGATGAAACAGTCAATCATCTAATAGGGGCATATCCCCTATATAATGATGAAAGGGAAAACTTCATCATGAGCCTATCAACTTTCACTCAACACCTATTACAATTAGTTCCTCCTCATCTCGTGGCCGTCGTCACCACAAATCTCATCCTCCTTGGAGTCAACCGATGACCCACCCATAACTGCCCAGGCCCTGGATTACCATGCTGCATCCCTAACATTCATCTTAGATATGCACTTGAAACATTCTGTTGTGAACAAAGCAGCTCCTGCATAAGTTGTCATCTGCACATCTTGTGATCTTTGATATTATACCCAGTTTTGTATTGTCTGTCTATTATCTATTTACTCGATCTGCGAAAGGATACACTCCGCAGTTCTCCAAACCTGGAGGAAACCAAGAAGAAGAAGAAGAAGATTCGTACCTAGCTAAGGCCAAAATCGTTCATTGTAAACAATATTTTAAAAAACTCAACAAAACATCAGTTATTATAATACCAAGTTTCAGGCAATTACAAATCCAACATGGACAATGTTTGTTAAAACCAAAGGTGATCGTTTTGGGGCAAAATATTATCTACGTATAGAGCACATAGGTGTCCACAAGTTTTGCGGGCCATTTTGTCTATGAATTTGAATATACTAGTAAACCGGTCTATATTTGTTAGAAACCAATGGCTTCTATTGGTAAATCAATAATGATCAATCAAAATCGATTTTAGCAACTGTCCACCAAAAAAAAGGAATATTCTAATCTCAATTGCATTAACTCCAGGGGAAAACACCCGTTGTGCATCCATAGAAATTCATTTCGGATTACGTAACATATACCGTGCGTCATCCATTGTAATGTTCGATGGGACGTTTCAATTTATAATACCAAAAAGGTAAAACCCACAGAGATGCACACTGGTTATGCGCTCATGAAAGTTATGTAGCATTATTCATTTATGCACCAACGGTACATTCTAAGATACGCAGGTGGAAGTATTCTTTTCAAGAGGGCAAACAAAAGGTATTCATGAAGCACATCTAGGACTTTGGCAGTTATTATTCTAAGATGCTCAAAGTGGAAATTCTTTATGTGTAAAAGATCTGTGGATATTTGGGGGCGTTTGTACCATGTGCTATCTGTAAACTCCCTTAATAGGCGATGGGCAACGCAAGTGCACATTATTTCGTGTTATTATAAATGATAGAAATATTCAAAAAGTAATATTAGCGTCCATTTAAACATTCTGTCGATTCTTGCGGAAGTAAAAAGAGGGTATGTAAAATAACAATAATAAAATATCTCTGTGATTATTTCTTGTTTAAATCATGGACATAATATGCGAAGGATATATTATACGAAAAGGCCTCGGATACGCAAGAACCTTCGGGAAGCCCGTCATTATATTCGATCACTTTCTATACGTCATCATCATCATCATCATCATCATCAACATCGTCAATGAATCAATAATGCCCAACAAAATTGAACAATAATAATGATAATAATAACAATACGAAACATTTGTATAGCGCCTTTTCACAGAGCAGCTGCAAAGCGCTAACGAAAACATTAACATGGCAAATTACAAGAGATTTGATTGACTGAATATAGAACATGTAATATAGCAAGAAACACAATATGAAAGAATACAAGAACAATTTATTATTCATGTATTTATTCATAAACAAAACTTAAAGAAGAAAAGTTTTACGGTTACACCAACAAGTAGTCCTTAAGAAAAGTTTTTTGGAATTCTTTCTTGGAATTCTTTCTTGGAAAGAAGAAACAAAATATGACAGAATACAAGAACAATTTATTATTCATGTATTTATTCATTAACAAAACTATAAGAAGAAACGTTTTACGGTTACACCAAAAAGTAGTCCTTAAGAAAAGTGTTTTGGAATTCTTTCTTGGAATTCTTTCTTGGAAAGAAGAAAGAAAATATGTGAGAATACAAGAACAATTTAAATATTATTCATATATCTATTCATAAACAAAACTTTAAGAAGAAAGGTTTCACGGTTACACCAAAAAGTAGTCCTAAACAGTGTTTTGGAATTCTTTCTTGGAAAGAAAACTTCTTACAAGAATTGCAGTACTGTGGATGCATGCCATATAAGAATTAAGTAGTAATTATATTCATGTGACATTAATTATCGTCCAAAACCAAAAAGGGAAAATCTAATTAGATATTCAGAGCATTGTTTTAAGATCTTACTTCAAATAAATATAACATCCTTCAACTCTACAGTTTGGAAACCTAAGATTGAAGCAATTTTTTTTATCAACGATCAAAAGTGTCAAATTTCTACTTCTTTTTCTTCCTGGAGGGGTAAATTAAACAAAATAATGTAAGGAATGAATTATGAAGCAAAACGACTGCTAGCGTTTGCACCAACTAAAATTTATAACTCGTATCCTAATCAAATTTTCAGATTGTAAGTTGGAGAATGTTAAATTTAATTGGAATAAGGGGTAATGTAATAGGAATGAATGATGAAGCAAAACGACTGCTAGCGTTAACTATAGTTAACTTACTTTGACGAGTGATTCCTCGGGATGCCATGGATGAGGACTGTCCCATCCCTGGTTGTCTCCCGTTCAAAATGTACGAGACATCGAGGGTAGTCATGGTCTTGGTCGACATCGTCAATGACCACGGATCAAGGACGCAATGAGATGGAGAACGCTCAAAACGGGATTGGAGAAGAACTTGAAGAAGACCGGTTCCAGTGGATGATCGACCGGCACGGGGAGACTGCCACAGACTGCCACGAATTGACGAAGAGACAGTCAAGAGTGGGATGATGCGTGAAACGAATTTTCTTAGGGTTATGTAATGAACTTCTCAGCAAACTTCTTCACGGTAGAGTGAATCTTGTCTCGAGAGTTAGTCTGATGTCAAGGCGAAGACGTCTTATTCTAAACACGACTCGCAAAGACTTTTAAAAATCAACTCAAGGTCAATTTCAATTGTCTAGCTCAAATCCAATACCATATCGTTCTGGATCTCAAAGAAAAATAATGTCCGGATTACGTCATTATTTTGTAATGTTCACAAATTTCAAAGGGTGATGGAAAAGGCTTGTAATAGACCGGTAATATATATATTTTTTTAATTTGTATTGTTTCACATTCCACAAAATAACAGTCTCCATAATTATCAATAGTCAGCAAGATAAAGCATAATGACAAAAAAACAATGATGGCAGTAAATTATAATATGTAACGTGAAATATGAGGATCCTATTAAAAATCAATGCTTGTATAATATAGGTTCCCATATACTAATGATTGTATCAACAATTCCAACGCAATGAAGAGAGACGAATCCGGGACATATATTATTTATACACAATTCATACAGGTGAAAAAAGAAAGAAAACAGACATAGATAAATTAAAAAAATAACGATAATGTGCCTTATGCGTATGATTCCAAGAGGAAGTTTGAGTTTACGTTTGAATGAATACAGCGAGGGTGATTGAATTATCGCAGCGCTCAAACTGTTCCAAAAATGAACTATTTCATGGATGTTTCTTTCGTGGGGACCTAATTACGAGGTATTCCATTACCTGTTATCAATGAATAAATGAACTACATTTATTGGAAACCAGTATGCATACATTATTTGTTGCAACGCCAGGCAAGCCTCGGGCAAAAACTGTGCATTAAAAATATGAATATGACAGTGAACCGGTTGACTGTCTAAGGCTGATTTTGGGAAATGACTTCTTTAATAATGCTAATAAAAAATTATGAATCATTTCATTCACCAGTTTCATTAACAGAATACAAACTGGCATGGTTGGATACCTTGCCTGACCTTGTAACGCCTGATAAATACAATATGCATTTTCACTACAGAAATATAACTTGTAATACCTAAATACATCTAAACGAACCCTTCCTCGAAATACTATCATCTTGTCTGCTCAATATTTTACTGATCTCTCTTAACATCTTAATCTTAACCATCATCTCACATCTCTCTTGTTTTAAAGAACTCTTCTCACTCTTTGATTCAGACTATAAATAAAACCGTGTTCATTTATAGGTCGGAAATAAAAGTACCCAAGCTTAGATGAAAGGCTACATCCATGGGGTATTCCGAAGATGTATGGGCGTGGCATGATCTCAGGGGTACTATGATGTCATGAAAGAGGTGTATCACTCGTTCATGTCGTGATGAGCATAGTTTGTCTCGAGCAAATAACGTGACGGTCTTTTCAATAAAAAGAATTATAGATTTGTTTGCAGTATGTCTACAAGCGTAACAACGTCTTTAAGGGGGGCCAATTCTATGGGTTTTTTTAAGTCTTCTTTCTTTCCGCTATGACGTAAGAAAAAAGATTTAGCATTCCAGAAAAGGTTTGTGATGTCACATTCATTATGTAGCCCCGGCAACAAAATATACGAGATAATATAGACAACCTTTTATGTGTATACCAACAATGACTGGTCAAATAAACGAATTAAATTCTTACATTCTGAACAAAATTAATTAATTTTATATACTTTATGGCTGAATGTTAAAAAGTTTGATACTACATCTGGGCCCCTTTGCATTAAACTTACCATTGATGGTAACTTTGCCATCAACGGCAACTACCATGGTAACAGGGCTCAACAGCCAATCAAAATCAAGGTTTCCATGGTAGTTACCATTTGGATGGCAAAGATACCATCAAGTATTATGCAACGGAGCCCTTGTCTTTAAAATTTATAACAGAAGCATCGAAATGTGGTGGCGTGGAAGCCTGGAAGGGCACATCTTTGTGCATTTCCCAAGAGTTTGCTACATTTAAAATATTTCTATAGACCGACAGGCAACGAGACTGACACATTTCTACCTTCCCCTTATATTTATTAGCTCTGCCGGTCTCATGGGCTGCCAATCTGGTAGACTGTCGGTCTCGAGGGCCGTCGATGAAGTGGAGCTTGGAACACTCTTCTCATTTATATTTCCATGCTCTTATGCCATGTCTGCCTACTGGAATGGCCCCGAGCAGAACCGCTCTCTGTTTCTGCTTTTCAGTTGCTCTCTCTCCCTCCCCCTCTCTCTCTCTCTCTCTCTCTCTCTCTCTCTCTCTCTCTCTCTCTCTCTCCAGGGTCTGTCCCCCTCCCCCTTTTCTTTATTTCTCCATTACTGGGCATTACTCCCTTTCACCCTATCTAGAACCACGATTTTTGGGTAAGAGGACATATTTTTTTATTTTTTTCTTATCCCAAAAATTTCGCTACGACTAACCCATATCTGGCAAAAACTTATGTATGTCGTTCTCATTCGGACTATTAAACTACAATTAACAATAATAACAACAATAATAATAATAATAATTATCACAACAATGATAATGATAATAATAATAATAACAATTATAATAATAATAATAATAATAATAATAATAATAATAATAATAATAATAATAATAATAATAATAATAATAATAATTATAATAATAATAATAAGGATAATAATGATAATATTAAGAATAATGATAATAAAACCGAAAATAACTATAACACAGTCACAAGGTGAGCAGAAATACTTAGAGAGCTAGGCCACCCTTGCTCTTTATTTCGATGCAGAGAATATCATCTTCGAAATAATATATTTATCACGTTGTACACTAAGGTTAGGTATAGGACCAAACTATATCATTGAGAGCAAAATGGAAAGGGAAACAGAAAGAGAAAGAGAGAGAGAGAGAGAGGGAGAGAGAGAAAGAGAGAGAGAATGATTAGAAAGAGATCATAGAGAAAGAGAGATAGATGACTAGAAAAAGTATTTTATTCATCGTTAATGAATGAGCTGTGCATGACACCGAGCTAGATCAGGGTGATGAGACTAGTTTGTCTCACCCCCTGCACAGATCAACATTGGTGATCCATAGTAACAAAATGAATCTTTTGATTCTTCTTCTGTTCAGTGTTACAAGATTTACCGAGCTACAAAGGTCGGTAACCATTTTATAAGCAAAGGATCAGATCCCGGGAGGGTACGAATGGTATTTTATGCCACATAGGCCTACACATAGTTTTCAAAACTTACGATGATCACCCTTCTGCGACATGTTAATGAGGCACTATGCCATGTGACCTGCTATGTGTTTTCAAAAATGTGTGATGGCTGACAATAAATAACAAATTTGACTAATCTATCCAAAATATTCAATAATGATAAGGAATTCACTCTCTTTATCATGATGCTTAGAATACAGAGGAGTGGAAATGCACTCTTTTAATTAGGGGTACTATCGTTTCGTGCTGTTTTAAACAAACAACCTTAGCGCCTTACGCACTTTTTTTGTTTTCTCCAAAAAGTGCCCTTTTTTTTTGCTACCCGGCCTACCCCCCCCCCCCAAACTTTGCAATACGCTCCACCGCCCCTGACTGTCATTCGGTAGTCCTATTATAAAGCAATCAAAATCCTCACTGTGGGCAGTAAGACAAACAAAAGTAAAATTATTTTTTCATAATTTGTTTTGCGTGATATACCGATCTTTTTAGTCTGAACCCCGGCCATTCCCGTAAAAAATGTTTCCTATATGATGCCTCTACACAAGGACAATTCTACACTTCCCTTCTATTTATCTGATATGACTGGAACACTTTTCATTAAAATATAGTGTTTGAATGATGCCATTTATGATAACGTTTCTTCACCATGAATTTTGGCAGTAGGCGATTAGTCGTCATTTTGATTTTAGAAAATTGTAAGTATATTTGTTATCTTCATAATGGTATACGTGCACGCTGAGTGTTTGAATGATTTGACGTTATTAAACCATTTTACATCACACTGAAACAACAAGTACAAGAATAAAAAACAAAAGGTATTTGTAGCGGAATTGTACTGACGTGAATTTTTTTAAAATAGATATATATAAACTTTATAAATGACCTATACGATTTACATGATGATGACTGTAAACATGATGATGACTGTAAATAATTATATCTGGTTCTGGATCTATATGGTAAAGGATTGATAAATATCTTGTAAACCGCTTGCAGAGATAACAAATGTTTTGATTTTCATTCTTTATGGCGTTCCAAAATGAACACACGTTGCAAATCGAAGTGCTTTAGCTTTCTTAAAACAACTTGGTTTTTAGTGTACCAAAAGAATTTGAGACTACGTAATGGTAACTGCTGTTTTGAGGCCATGCAAAATTGACAAAACTGTAGAGTGCCAATTCACGATGTAACTATGGGCAACGCGATGAAGTTTACTAACACAAACAACCAGCTCTTCTCTCTCTCTCTCTCTCTCTCTCTCTCTCTCTCTCTCTCTCTCTCTCTCTCTCTCTCTCTCTCTCTCTCTCTCTCTCTCTCTCTCTTCCTCTTCCCCTCCAACCTCACTTTCTTCTCGATCCCTCCTCAATTCCCACCTCTCTCTCCCTCTCTTGCTCTCAATCTTCACTTTCGTTTCCCTCCTCCATTCCCCTATATCGATCTCATCACCCCTCTCTCCTTATTCTTGCCCATCCTTCCATGGCTCTCTCTCTCTCTCTCTCTCTCTCTCTCTCTTTCTTCTTCCCCTCTGAGTTCGGGACTCTTTCCTCTCTACTCCGTGATCCTTGTACGTCCTCTCCCCTCTATCCTCCTCCTCCACCTTCTCTCTCTCCCTCCCCATCTCTCTCTCTTTCATCTTCGTCATATTGTGTCTCTTGCATGCTCATTCCAATCCGATAATTTTGTCACATGATCTAAAGGACTTAATTGATAATAAAAGCAAAAAGACAGGCAGGTCTCTAAATACACATGATGCAAAAGTTGTTAAAACGAAGGATTGACTAATATACGTCACGTCTGCGCGCCGTTGGTTTCATCTTTCCGGAATTAAAGTAAGTCGATCAAATTATCAAGAAAGTAAAAGTATCTCTCTCCCTCACTCTCTCTCTTTCATCTTCATCATCAAATCCAATACTTTTATCACAAGATTCTAAAGGACTTGTTTTTAAGTTCAGTGATAACAATTAAAGCAAATATACAGACAGGCAGGTCTCAAAATACACATGATGTAAAAGTTGTAATTTGAACGAAGGATTTACTACGTCACGTCCGCGCGCTCCTGATTTCATTCTTTCCCGAATTAAAGTAAGTCGATCAAATTATCAAGAAAGTAAAAGTATCTCCCTCAATTTTCTCTCTCCTTCTCTTTCATCTTAATCAGGGGCGGATCTAGCTTTTTGCCGGGGGGGGGGGGGGTTGACCCAGTGGCGGATCCAGGATTTTCCAAAAATCGCGCCGTTTTACTGTTTTACTTTTTTGTTTTCACTTGGCCGCCCAGGGGGGGGGGGGGGGGGGGGGGGGGTAAACCGCCGAAACACCCCCTAGATCTTGTTTTCAAGCTGTGATCATGATAAAGCAAATATACAGACAACTATAGGTCTCAAAATAGACATGATGTAAAAGTTGTTTGAACGAAGGATTGACGTCCGCACCCCCCTGGATTCATCTTTTCAAGTAAGTCGATCGAAAATTATCAAGAACGTAAAAGTATCTCTCTCCCCCTCTCTCTCTTTCATCTTCATCATATGTCTCTTGCATGATGCTCATTCCAATCCGGTACTTTTATAACATGATCTAAAGGACTTGTTTTTAAGCTCAGTGATAATAAAAGCAAATATACAGACAACTATAGGTCTCAAAATACACATGATGTAAAAGATGTTTGAACGAAGGATTGACTACGTCACGTCCGTAAGTTGATCAAATAATCAAGAAAGTAAAAGTATTTCCCATGTTCTTCAAAATATAGACTAAGAACAAACAGCATGCAAATAGATGATTGTGTTAAACCGTTTCTTTCTACTATAAATTTATGCCGAGCCCGTTATGTCCCAGTCCCCCCCCCCCCTCAACACACACACACGACTTTCAACTTTCTGCGTCTTTTATACTCTATGTAATCATATGAAGTATAATACTAGTAGAGTGTTTGAGACAGACATTCGCTTTCAAATTGTACTTTCCATTTAATTGAGAGAGAGAGAGAGAGAGAGAGGGGAAAAAGAGAGAGGGATGTGTGTACGTGTGTGTGTGTAGAGAGAAAGAGAGAGAGAGAGAGAGATAGAGGGAGCGAGAGAAATACGAAAAGAGAGAGAATTGAGAGAAAGGAGATAGAGGTGAGATGTAGTACATGAAAGTATCATAAACTTTGATTGCACAATGGATCACGTCAATCATGGCAATATACCATTTTCATTATATAACCAAATCTAATGCATATGACTTTGTGAAGTGCCTTGCCACAAATTATTTAATTAATCTGATACAAATACATGTAATTGAATTTCAATAGTCAGAATGCAAACGGCATACATAAGTTTTTGCCAGATATGGTTTACCCTCTAGTAGCCTCTACCTCAACAACATGTATTAAATTTGGTTACTGTTACGAAAATGGTCTATTGACAAAGCCTTGTCAGACAAAGCACGATCTACATTTCTTTAATAGCTTACACAGCTCCACGGGGGCCTACACTTTGACTCAATGTATCTACAATCTAAAGAACAAGGGAAAGGAGTACACAATCAAATAATGTTTAATTTGTTTCATCGTGATTGTTGCATATTTATTTTCATTTAAAAAAATGGTTAAGAAAAATACATGTATATAGAAATGTGCAGATAACCTGAGTGACAATATTTTCTACAAATGTTGAAATAAAAAATACAAATACATTTGTACTTTGGTACACAAATGCAAATACATTTGAAATACACGGTATTAACTTGTTGAATGCTGAATTCTTGCATTCCCATTGACTTTACACAGGGACTACCCTGTTCCTGTAGGCAAAGGGTTAAGTTGACATTTCTACCTTTCCTGAGTGAAAGTGATGAGGAATTTTGGACAGGTCAAATAGATCCTTGTTATCATATCAATGTCTGTATGACTGAATGACTGAAATCTGTAATATTGGGAAGATGCCAATCGGTGAAGATTTTCTTAATCAAGAATAAAGTTCATGATTGGATTTCAATGATCAGTACCTAAAAAATATTGTCCAAGCATGTGCCCCCAAAACATTCTCACACTTCAAATGTTAATTACATTATCACAATTCATTTCTGAATAAAATGAAAGAAATTATTTTCAACCATGTTCTCACATAATCTCCCCCCCCCCCCCCCCCCCCCCAATACAGCAAATCTCTATTCACTTGTTAATAATTTATTCATGAATGAAAAGATGTTGATTTCATAGCACATACATGATACAACAGTCCAAAATTCTTACAATTCATAACACAAATGCTACAAGTCTTAGTAATAACAGGAAAATACAGGCTATTCTTTAATCTCTAAGTATAATGGCTGAATTACATTCACACACAACTTTTGCACGTAATATTTGAGTTACAACTTTTTCAACTACATGTATGTACATCTGTCTGTGTGCTTCCTACAAGTCCTGATGAAGAACAGGGACATTGTACTCATCACCATCACCATCATCATCGTCTTCATCGTCATCACCACCATCATCATAATCATCATCATCGCCAATTCATCATCATCATCATCACCATCATCATCATCATCATCGTCGTCATCATCATCATCGTCGTCATCACCACCACCACCATCATCATCACCATCACTATCATCATCATCATCATCACCATCATCATCATCATCATCACCACCACCACCACCATCATCATCACCACCACCAGCACCATCATCATCATCATCATCATCATCATCATCAACATCTCCATCATCATCATCATCATCATCATCATCATCACCATCATCACCACCACCATCATCATAAATTGTTCAGCATCTGCTTTTCCCACACTTTTTTTGAGTTGGACATTTCATTTTGTTTTTGGCCCTTCTTCAAGTCTTCCGGTCTTTAGCATCCATCTGGATGGTGCCAGATGCTCTTATATCTTCTTCCAGTGTCTTCTTGCTTAAACTTTATTTACATCTATACAAAAATAAATATAAAAAAAACAAAAAAAATCATTCTTTTAACATGAATTCAAAAAAGTTTCAACAAGCACCACTAGGCCGAACAAAAAAAAAAGATGTTGTGTTGCCCTTTAGGTGCTAAAACATGGGTCGGTCGGTCGGAAATCTTTTTTTTTTTCTAACTTTTTTTTCTTCTTTTTTCCCCCTCTTTGGGCTAATATTTTTCAGTTTTGAATGCTTTACCGGTAATACAATTTTTTTCTAAAAAAAACGGTCAAAAAACAAAACCTTTTTTTAAAAGCCAACTGTGGATTTCAAGTTTTTTGGGTCGGTCGCAAAGGACAATACAACATCTTTTTTGTTAGGCCTTAGGGTAAAACATATACATCATGGAATCATGATTCATACTTAATAACCTTGTACTTAAATAAAACTAGGCCCGCATGAGGAAATTAAATTACATTCATTATTACATTAAAAATAATTGTATCCTCAGTCTGTTTGGCAGAGACAAATGAATAATATACACGATAGGAAAAATACTGTGTAGGCAATAACACTTTTAAGTATCACATTTTCTTTACAATTAATAACAACAATAAAAATTTGAGTTAAAAGAAACTGTCATATATCCATCCAAGGAGATACATATAAGGTGCCATCGAACTACTACTCCCTATAACAATGAGTTAGTAGTAAGTAGTCTAATAATTTGCAGTGTGATGCCCAGGTAAACGAATCATGGTTTTTAAAAATACAACAGAAATACAACAAATACAACAAAAATACAACAAAATACAACAAGTACAACAAAAATGCAACAAAACTACAATTAATAAAACAACAATACAATAAATACAACAACAAAAGTACAACAAAATACAACGAAATACAACAAAATACAAAAAATATAACAACAAAACAACATATAACTTGGTTAACAATTTTATCCACTTGAAGCCCCTCTAAAATGTTGGGAGCCCCAGATTCGTAAAACATTTGATGGCAAAATTTCACTTAAATTGTATCATAGTGTGGAAGAGGATCATGTCACTTCTGCAAAGATTTCCCCTGAAAAAAAGTGTTTGAAGACAAATATTGATGAAAGAATACATAATTTGGGTTCTGATGTACGCAGAAAACTTAAATTTTGTATTCTGTCATCAATTTTTGACTTCAAACACACTAGTTTTGAAAATCCTTGCAGAAATGTGTCTTAAATGACATCTTTTTTCACATTATGATACAATTTAAGTGAAATATTGCCATCAAACTTTTGGGGCTCCCGGCCATCCGGACACTTTAGAGTGGCTTAACTCACACACGAATGTAAATGTTACACAATGTACATATAAAATTGATTAAAATGGTTGGAAATTGATTGTCTTCCTAGTGCAGCTATAACATTACCTATCTGTTAAAATTTTATTTACATCAATTGAAGTGATACTGAACTGGTGAACTTTCTGCCCTAGCATACTATTTATTGCACAGCGCCATCTCATGGTCAACTTGCCAACTATCCAGTTTCATTTCAGAACTAGTGAGTTGTACCGTTCAATGTATTCAAACTGTAATCTATGACATGACCCGGTTGATATATTCCCGGGTCAATGTACCAAAACAAAGCCGATTGCCAATCAGATCATTCCTTCAATATTAGGTTGATGAATATTAAATTATCAATAGGTCAGCCAGGCTGTTCTTGTACGTAGCTATTTGATGTCCGAAAACTTTTTTTTTGGAATATTTATTGTACTAAAATCTAGATGGACAACAATTCATGTGGACAGCAATTTTTTCGAGTTAAAAATTAATTTAGGAGCTAAATGAGCAAGCTATCTAATTAGGTCAAACTGAATATTTCATTTTTTGCTATTTTTCACAATAACATAGAGTGTAATATTGCAGCCAAAGTGGATATATGAAGACGTAAAGAGTGAGAAAAAATTGTAGCCCCTGATTCCTCTTGGTCCAGCCGAACTAACCCATTCCTTCCACTGACTACCCCGTACCAGGTACTTCAGTCTCTTTATCGAGGAGGCCGGAGCCAGATGTAGTCTCAGCGGAACACCGTCAATATCAGAGACTGAAGCTTTCGGTCTAGCCTTCCCCTGCCCCCCCCCCCCCCCCCACCCATGCCTCTGACTAATAGGGTTGACCTTGAGAAGATTTTTTGGACTGCCATAAGGGAAAAGTCAAGAGTCTTCTTTTTCTTTCTTAAAATACCTTGATGTCTTTTCTTCTTTCTTTGTAAAATAAGTGTCTAGTTTCCTTTGCTTGGGGGCATTCCCATCTTCAATTTCCGATTTCTTAGATTTCTTTCCAGACTTCTGTTGATAAAAAAAGACAAAGAAGAAAGAAATCGTACAAAGTATAGAGGATTAGAAAATAGAATAAAACTGATAAATTTTGGTCTTTGAAATAATGATAACCATTTTATATAATGGCTGTGATAATTAAATATATTTCACAATATTTGCTTGGCTTGGTAATCTTGCTAGACTATGACATGGATGGTATAAAGCCAAATCTAATACCTTCATATGACAGAATTTCAGAATTTTATGGTTTATAAATCAGTATTTTTAAGGAAAAATTTGTTTTTTATATAAATGAATGGAACAAATGTCAACTTGAACTTTAACAATTAGATTTGTACCTTCAAGATATATCGTTACCTTTTTAATTGTCTTGCCATTATACGCATCAAAAGCTTTCCTCATACCAGCAGACACTGCCTGACCCTCGAAAGCACTTCGTGAAACCCACTGATGATGGGGAACGTCTTCTGATTTTTGAGACTTCTCAGATACATCCTCCTCCTCCTCCTTCTCCTTCTCCTCCTCCTCCTCTTCCTCCTCGTCCTCTTCCTCCACCTTCATCGTTTCTAGCTCATAGGTTTGGTGGATGTGGGAGAACATGTGAACAAACTAAGAATGGGAGAGAGGAAAGGGAAATGGTTATCTCCACTCCAGCAAAGCTAATGCGTATTGACCTCTAGCACTGGATAGTCAATACACTCATTATACACAAATGCACACAATCATGCCGATGTGGCTGATCGGCAAGTATGACAGTAGACTTACAATTTGAACTTTTGAATTATTCTTTCTAACATCGGTAAGTTGAAAAATTGTATTTTACTGCTATTTAGGTGTCATCAATTGTCACTGAAGTACTGATTTTGAGTGAAATCAGTTGAGTTGTGTACAGTGGTGTTTGAAATATTGAGAATCAATAGCACAGCTTTTAATACACAGCCAGGATAGTAATACAGCCAGGATAGTAATGCAGCTATGTGTGGTTATCTCCAGCGGTGTAACCTGGGCCTGGGTGTTATCATCAATGGTGTACTTTGTCTTTTCGACATTTCTCTTACGAGGGGCAATTCTGAGAACTTTGGTTTTCTTAGCATTAAGTTGCATTTTGTTAATGCTGCACCAGTTTATGACATGAGTAATGTCTGCTTGGAGCATTTGCATATCAGTCTCATTTCTAATTATGCGGTACAGAAGCGTGTCGTCAGCAAAAAGCACACATTTCGATTGGACTACATGGGTGATATCATTAACAAACAAATTGAATAGCCGTGGTCCTAATACACTTCCCTGAGGTATTCCCGAGGTCACTATTGACCAATCAGACCGTGATCCTCGGAACTGGACAGTTTGTTCCCTCCCACAAACAAAAGAACTAACCCATTCCCAAACATTACTTTGAATGTTATATTTCTTAGCTAATTTATTGAGGAGAAGATCATGGGGCATGCGATCAAAGGCTATGTGTGGTTATCTCCAGCGGTGTAACCTGGGCCCCGTTTCATAGAACTTGTTATCGATAACAAACGTTAAATTTCTATGACAAATTTGCTCTTAGACAATCAAATTCCACGATTTCAGTAGCTTATAACAGTTGTTTTAACTTGTTACAGCCACTGATGGGACAATTTGGGGATGAAATGCTGAAGATCATAAAGTGAGGGTGTGTGTCTTATCATCTTTTAACAGGATGGCTGCTTAAATTACATCATGAAAGCTGTATTTTAAGAATGGTTATACCAAATCCTTTTGAACAAGGTGTTCAAACACATGTTTGATGTTATTTTTAGAATGGACATAGCTATGGTTACTTAAATACTATCCCTGTATCCAAAGCTAGTTGCAATTTTATTTTAAGCATAATTTTGACATAGTCAAAGAATAAGAATGCCATTTTAAGTTGAAATAGGGAATTATAAATAGGGATATGGTATGTTTCAACAATGATGTCTATTTTAAGAATATTTATAGACGAATTAAGACCAAAAAAAGGTGAGAAAAATAATGGAGTGTGGATCCAAACCAAAAGTGAATGGAAAATCAATCCTAAAATGTTTATTACACAAGGGGTGTTTCACAAAGATCTTAAGTAAAACTTAACTCTAAGTTGGACTTAAACATTATGGAGAGCCATTTGTAGCCTTAAAATAAAATAAAGTCAAAAGCAAAACTTTTAAGTATTTTAGCCTTTTCATAAATTCCACATCAAGAACATGAAATCTCCTTGATAATAGAAAATATAAATGATTTGAATCAACATTTTATGCCTTTTACAAAATAGTTTCAAAGTCCAACTTGGCGTTAAGATCGACTTAGGATCTTTGCGAACACCCCTCTGATCATGGCATACCTGAATAATGTGTTTCCTGTCCTTGACAGTCTTCAAGGTCATATTCAAGGTGTCCTTAAGGTAGGAATCAATCTTGTTTCTGCTCTTCTGCCGAGAGGTTTCTTCTGCAATCTCAATACTTGGAAACTCCCACATTCCAGCCAGGAGACCTGCACAGAACCCATCATTTTTTGTTAAGAAATAATGGTTAGTAATTGATAATTGTTTACAATAGAAAAAGAAAACAAAATGCAATCAATTAGAGCTAGAGCAATGTTCTGAAAACTATTGTGGCGGCCGCCCCCGCCTCCGTCTCCAACCTCGACCTCTACGTCGGGATTATTCTCATTCCCAGCTGGGGAAACTGATTCTTTATATCTGTCAGGATATTCGTCAGCCGACATTATTTATAATGTCCAAGCGGTTAGAGTAATTAGATCTTATCTTTTATTTGAGGAAAGACGGGGGAAGCTACAATACTTATTTACGTTCGTTTCGTCGAAATATACGACTATGAGGGAGCACCAGTCAAGAAGAAAGACAAAGTGTTTATAGACTCATAATTTCAGTTTCAAGACAAAAGAAAATGGTCAGCTTTTATTAATGCATGTACTTCAAATATTTACATCTTTATATCACCACTGTCACAAATACCTTGTGCTTATAGTTATACTTAATAAATTTATACGATTGTCGTTATTATATTCGAATAGGGCCTACATGTAATAAAGTGAAGGACAATGATTCATTGGGATTTTATGGGACTTGGGAGTTTTCCGTCTTAGTTTAATTCCATAGCATCATAGGGGGAGAGGTGGACTTAGAATATTCCTGCATCTTAATAATAGTGGTTCATTAATTCCAGCATCTTAATTCCAGCGTAGACTTCCTTGTGTACCTTTATATTCCAGGGAGGGAGAGAGATCTTATGTGTGGTACCAGTTCCGACGAGCGCCCAATTCCAAGACAAGTCCTTAGGTGGGGGGGGGGGGGATTTCCAGGGAGAGACTAAATAGTTCTGATTCCGACGAGCGTCCAATTCCAACTCTCCGCGTTTTAGAAATGTTACGGGTTATAAAGGCATAATGCGGACGTGGGGGAAATCGATGCGCTAAGCGATCTTGGAAAGTACGCGCGCAGCGAAAATGGACTTAACATAAAGACTGTGCTAGTTCAGAGCAAAATATCTAAGTAAGTCTCTTATTTTACCATTATTTAAATACAACACTCTGAATGACATATCATTTGCAGTAAATATTAACAAGTCACATTGTCTAAACAACTTTCCTTCCAAATTCATGTAATATATTGATAAACAATTACAGTTTAACATCTTAAAGCATCTCAATAATGGATTCAAATGTCAAGCGCTCGTATGCAAATTATTAACGTAAACATTGTGCGTCGGTGTATGATGACGCGCTTGAAAACAACAATCATTTAAGTTAGGCCTCTTTGTTACGTCACGACCGCGGAGTGGATCGTTACACTATGTTATATTTTAGGATAAGGAAAAATCATGTTAATGATTACAATCTGAAGTTGGACTGATCTAACACTTCTCTTATTGGTGTTTGCACATCTGTCTCCATTAACTAAAGGTGCACACAACAAGTTTTGCACAGACGATAACTTATGACTTGTCAAGTCCTACGATGGAATACCAGATGTATTTCACCACCATGCTGCTTGGTTCTAAGTATTACAGTTAACTGAATAGTTGCATGATAGTCAGACAGGGTCAGCACCTAGTGTGATCTGGATTCACAAAAATATTGATAGATAAAGTACTAGTACATAGAAAGAGAAAATATTAATGTTTATGGAGATGGATAGAAAACAGGAAAATGGAGTGAGGTGAAAAAGAAAAAGTACCTGTGTCTGGTCGTTGTACTATGAGATATTCCTCTTCATCGTTAGTCTCTCTCTCCACAATGCATACAGCAATCTGTAACAATCAAATAAATGCAAAATGAAATTACAAGGATTTTAGTCCACTTTTTAGTTTCAGCATTGTTAACCAATCACATAGAGGAGAATTAATTGAAACAAATGAAGAGCGCTTATACATCACAGCAAAGATCAAGTTTTGAGAGAAAAAAACAGAGTAATTTGAGGTGTCGTGGTTAAGTTGATATGTCACCGGACTGTGGATCACAAGGTCCACGGTTCGAGTCCCACCACGGCACTATATAGAGTCCTTTGGCAAGACATTAATCAACATTTGCCACTCTCCACCCAGGTGTTAAATGGGTACCTGGCAGGGTGCTTGCATTTGCATGTGTGTGCTTGTAAAATGGCGCGTGGCCGGAATACTCCTAAGGGAGTGAGCGTACGCACTATCATTAGCAATTGAATGCAATGACCGGGGTAGTTATAATTACAATGTATTAAAAGCGCTTAGAAACATTGTATTAAGCGCTATACAAATGTGACTATTATTATTATTATCGAGAGAGCAAGAGACACACACACACATATAGAAAAGTAAGCATAATAATAAACGTTTAAGTAATCTGACACACATGTCATTTCATACAGTCCTCAAACTTTGGGGCAAATTAAATTTTCAACATACACTGTTAATATTACTTGGAACTATCTGTGCAACTGCTGTATGCAGAGACGCCAAGTTCAAAGAACGGCAATGCGTGACATTTTCATGATTCGGCACGCGAGCGCGCGTGCGAGGGTATAACACATGTATAAGGTATAGTGTTTTTTCAAAATCTAGCATGCGCGTCGTGCGTAAGAGCATTTTCAGACCCTCGAAATGCGTGATACTTGGTAGCTCTGTATATGTGTTAAGGATAAACTTCATTGCCTAGATAAAATATGAAGCAAATGCATATAACTGACAACAAACTTACAACTTGCTGTTTCAATGGCTTTTTCTTTGGTTTCCTAGGGTAATTCATCACACCTAAATTAGCATCCAGTGGTCCATCCATGCATAGTGAACAACCATCAGCAGCTATGTATACAATAATGTGGGGGAAAAAAAAAGAAAACTAGAAATAATACATCATGTACATTCATAAAAATGCATATATTCCAAAAATGAACAACCATCAGCAGCTATATACACAATTATCTGAAGGGAAAAAGAAGAAGAAAACTAAAAATAATACACCATGTACATTCAAACAGATAAATGTATTTTCCAGAAATGATATTATACCAGTTATATAGGTTGTGTAGGCCACAACACCACTACCAATGCAATTTTGAAACAACGTACATCATTGACCAAATTCACTTGAAACCCATCCAAAAATTAAATTTGCAGATTATAAAATTAAACTTGTTTAATACAGTAGATTTCATTCGGTAATTTTGCAATTTAAATCTAGTTTCTGAAATAGAGGGCTGTTCAGCAAGCACTGTAATATAAAAATAAAATGATAAAAAGAAGAGGATACAGATCTCTCATTTCCTTACCACATTCAATATCTACGACACCCTTCTCTTCTGGTAAGGACTGACCATTGCTCTTGGTCAGTTTGGTGGCCAAGTCTCTGGTCAGCTGGTCCATCTGCTGTATAGCCCTGCAGTGGGATTGGACGGGACAGGAGGGACACTGGGGGCTCTTAGGGTGGCAGACTGTTGCTCCTAGCTCCATCATGGACTGGTTGAAGTCTCCGGGTCGGTCTGGATCGACGATGGTATTGGCAAGGTCCCTGGGTGGAGGCGGGGAATTGGAATTAGAATCTAACAGTGACTATACGAAACATATCATAATATCAAAGATAATTTTATCACCTTAAGTAATGTGCCTGTTAATATCATCAGTATTATTTATTAACTTCAAACTATCGATAGTCACTAACATCAAGAGCTTACTAGATGTTTAAAGAGAGGGTATATTAAAGCTTGATGATAGCTCTATTTACCATCAATATGTGAAGGTCCTAGTCAAATCTAAAAATTGGCATTTCTTAAAGAGTACTACGGTAATCAAAAGGTAATTTAGATACAAGACGCAAACTGCAACATCTTTGATAAATGTCAAGTTAGTCAACAGGAGGGGCTGTCTCATTAAAACATTAGTTATCAATAACCATAGTACATAGAAAAACAAAAAACAACACAAGTGTATGTATTTTCAATATTTTGATAAACTGAAGGACTAGGTTTACAATATGCAGATCAATATTGAAATATGCATCCATATTACAGATTTATACAAATCACCATTACAGCATTACCATATTGCTGTCATGACATTCTGAGTGGTTGAATCAGCCCCAATCATCCTCAATCGAGAGAGAACTCGGATCACATTGCCATCAACAACGCCAGTAGCCTTGTGAGAAATCAGAAAGACAGATTGTCTGCTTATGTTAGAGTCACATCATTAATTATGAAATTTACTAGTGCTTCGACTTGCTATTCATTTTTCATTACTTTCATTGTGATGTGAATTGTAGTTTATGACACAAAGTGCCTACATGAATTTGACAAAAGCATGCTGTCTTAGCTCTGTGATAAAATATAAACATGTATTCCATTTTGTAGGAAAAGTAGAGAATAGTCATAGAATGAAATGTATTTTTCCAAACTATTAATTGCAACATCTCCAATCCAATCCAAACGATATTTGATATAGCGCCATTTCCTTGCAGTTACAAAGCACTGCACACCTCTCCAAAATTTTTGGGCCGCTTAAAAACAAAAGTTAGACACTTCTCAGAGATCAGTCAAGTAAATTATGTTGGCTGGTAATAAGTAATTTCTAGCATTGTGTCAATATAACAAACAACAACTTGATACATAGATCTGATGCAGTCCACTGGCTCATAAACATTAGATCTACATTTTAACAGGGAACAAATGGCAGTTTTAATGTTCACATCTTTAGATAAGGCACATTTTGACTTTGTATGTTTCAAGATTCAAGATTCAAGCTTTATTTATTTTCTTTCCACTTGCATAAAAAAAACATTTCATTCAGGAACAGTAGCAAAAAGTTCATCGTCCACTAGCATAAATACATTAACAATTTATAAAGACTTTAACAAATGTGGAAAAGAGTCTGTTCACAAACCTCGCTGAAGGATATTGAAGCTATCGCACCTGCAGTGTAACGGCCGACACCTGGTAGCTCCTTCCGCAGTTGTTCTGCTGTTCCTGGAATCTGACCGTCTAGTTCATTCTGAACCTTACAGGCTCCCTCAAAGAGACGCTGCCCTCTAGAGTAATACCCAAGACCTGCCCAGACCTCTCGTACTTCCTATCAATCAAAATACATGTCCAAAGTCCAAACACATATTATATCCAAGTTTATTATCATCAATTTCATAATATACTGCTTTATTTATAGACACACATACCCTAAGTAATTCTGATGCTGTATACACTCATTATGAAATATTGTACTCATGAGATTACTTAAATTTACTTTATGATTTGTATTAATTTGATTGTAGCACATGGTTATTCATATAGTTAAGTATGAGACTTGACAGTTTCTTTGACTTTTTGTACATTATTTCTACCATTGTTATATGTATCTGTTTGTATTTTTATTTTTATTTGAAATCCAACCTGAAGTTTTGGTTGCAATAAAGAAATAATAATAACAAATAAAAAAGTTGTTTGCAGTAAGTCAGTACACAACAAAAACAAAACACCCAGTTGAATATTCTATCAAACTAGAAATGTATACAACTCTCCACCCCAGTGGTATTATCTGCGTTCATACAGCAAGCACTAAAGCACTTAATACTGTTAACATGACACTGCATGCCAAAGGCCCCAGTCAATCTTACATTATTCTTTTGTCTTTTATTTGTCCAGACTTATCAATCATCTTTTGTGCTGGATAGTGACAATTATTGCAAATATTATCAGGTTATCATCTAAACATAGACTACATAAAATATCACTATTAGTGACAACAATAATACCATTTCAACACAAATATACTCGCAAAAAATTTGGTTTGAGTCCCGGCTATGCCCTTTCTTTACCCATGTTAAACTGTTTGTAATAAAACTGGTCTCACCTCTAGAGATGCTTTTGAAAGAGATTCAAGAGTTGGCCATTTCTGAAGAAAAAAAAGTGAATTCAATAGAAATGGCATCATTTGGAATATCATGTATCTTGATCATAGGATGCATTGCTATTTATATATGTATTTTCTATGATATTTCACTCTTTTCATTCCATTCCTTGAACAGACAATTATTTTAAGAAGACCACAGATTCATCCATATATCATCTATGAATTAAGAAAGTATATATGTTCAATCTTCATCGACAAACAGTCTAGATCTGTAGGCCTACATAGACCAATACACTATCACAATTTACAAGTATCATTTAATTCAATGTCTTTCATAATTATTTCAGGAGGTGGGAGGGGGGAGGGGGGAGAGAAAAATGTACTTACTTTCATCCATTTGTTGTAATAATCTATAACCGTGGCAACCTGTGTTTGTTGACACATAATCTCTGAAACCCAGACAGCGTAGGCTTTATGATTTGTATCTTCTCCTTTTATCTGAAATGAAAGAAAACAAAAATAATAAAATAATTAATGTAATGTGAAATATAGAATGATTTGACAAACATGTCTATCAGTTTGCAGTTTAGGATGTGAAATAACTACATTTAGATCGACTACAGCCAGTTCTACTGGTAATCAAAATTATAATCATTCCTCCTCCTCCTCCTCCTCCTTTTTCTTCTTTTCTTTTTCCTCCTTCCTCCTTACTCTTCCTGTTCTTCTTCTCCTCCTCCTCCTTCTTCTTGTTCTTCTTTTTCTTGATATTTTCTTCTTCAGCTCCTTCTGCTTGAGATCTTCTTCTTCTCCTCCTCCTTCTCAAAAAGTACAATCCACGATGGATTGATCTGTCCTACTATTTGGCATTTCAGGTGTGGCGTATAAATTTATTAATAACTTACATTTCTCCATGGTAGATCCCTCTTGTTAACATCATACCACTGTAATAACTTCCTCCGCAATGACTCAATTTCAGTCTGTGAGAAGCTGTGTATAGCACCCCGTATTTGTGTATCTGAATGGAAAAATGATGAAAGAGAAAAAAAATATTTAATTTTCCAGTATATACTGAGCTGAGCTGAGCTGAGCTGAGCTGAGCGATTTAGAATTTAATACTGTCGAGTACTAAAATTTAAATAGCTCAGCTCAGTGTATATAATATTCAGCATCATGCAATGCAAATCTAGAAAACCTACCAATTATATTATTGTTGTTTTTCGATGCCTTCTTCATCATGGAAAGAAGTCGGGGATGTAACCTGAAGGTTGCTATTGTTGATGGGTGATGAATCCTCAGGTATTTCCAAATTCTGTCTCCTGGTCTCACACCAGTCCAAGCAACATAATACTCGATTAAGGTCTCCTCAAAAAGTCAGTGCATGTGCATGCACCTGTCCAACGTGTAACTCCTGCGAGATATTTTTCGTTATGAAACAACATTCGAGTCGACGCGCGCTTTGTTGAAAGGGAAAATCCCGGCAGATTCCATTTTATCAAGAGGGTCCCATTGTTATGGCTATTGAGAATTTACAACAATTCTTTGTTTCTTCTCTCTATTCATTTGACTTTAAGCCTGTTTCATGTGTAATATAATTAATAATAACTACCTTATTGATATATGATACGTCGATTTTGATTTTGATTTATATTCTTTTTTGTATCTCAATTGACATGAAGAAGGTCTACCCTTGAATCTGGTTGCGTTTCTAAAAGTAACGTTGGCAAGTAAAGTTAACTGGGCATGCGATCCGAATTCACATCAAGATGTCATTAAATGTACCCATTATCGATGTTCATCGGGAGAATTTCAAAGATTTCTGGCCAGCCATCAATTTAGCGATCCAGACGGCATCATATATTGCTATTGACACAGAGCTCAGTGGTCTAGGAAATAGGCGAAAACTTATGGCAAAGTATGATTATTTATTTGCTTGATCCCACCTGTTTAAGTTCGTGTTCCTTTTCAGTTTAATGAATTCATTTATTAAATTAATAATAATAATAAAGACACGTTTATATTTCCGTAATACATTATTTTTGATGATGATTGATGGGGTTTGAGGTTGTAGAATATATTCATAATTCATTAATCAAATTGCAACCTGTATTAAATATGCGAAGATTGGTTTGCTTGGTTTCATGAACAACATAGTCTATATTTCATACTCGTAGACCTATTTCTTGTTTCTTTTTTTGTCAGTTGAGTTTTATAGCAATATTCGATGAGGGGCAAATCATTAAGAAATTATTACAATTACACAATGATTGTTATCTTTATCTCAAACCATTTCTGCAATTTTGTCAAGTAAGGAATTTCAATTAGATAGCTTCTTAAATTTGCATTAAAAGTAAATTCATTTAGAGGTCTAGTATTGCCTAATATTCTTGTCATGATGATTCTATCTTTTTTTGTTAATGTTATGTTTTTTATAAAAAATTGTGTAACTACTATTTGAATGTTTTGTTTGCTGTTTCCTTTCCACAGATCCATTGAGGATAGATACAAGTCCATTGCCGAGGTTGCCAAGACTAGGTCCATCCTTTCTCTAGGACTATCCTGTTTCAAGATCCAGGAGGAGGAGGACCACCACACCGGTCCAGCAGGGGAGACACCAGGGCCAGGCCCTACCAGTCAGAAGTTCCTGGCCCAGACCTTCAACATCCTGACCCTGTGTAACGAGGACTATATGGTAGAACCAGGAGCTCTGCAGTTCTTGGTGGGACATGGCTTTGACTTCAACAAGCAGTATTCCTGCGGTGTGCCATACTGCAGGGGACCAGACAGGGTAAGTCATCTCCATGGATTTGACTTATTTCTTGGGATGATCTTCTGCAGAAATTGTTGGAAGAGAGAGGAGTGAAAGATCTGGGAGTGGTGCTAATAGAGAAGGCTAGGAACCGAGGGTTGTGGAACAGCATGATCGCCAAAGTCAATCGATATGGCACTTAGAGAGAGAGAGAGACAGATCTTTTGTTGTATTATACTCTTTTCAGGTAGAGAGGTACGGGATAGGGATTAGAGGTGTGCCTTTTAAATGATAACCTTTACAATATTATCTTATCAATTAAAATTAAAAATAGTAGGTGATACGAGGGTGCTGTAAAAAGCTTACCCATTGATATGAGGCTTTTCATTACAAGTTTTCTTGCTGTACACTGTTGAGATGTAATGTAGTTTCCTTGAAATAAAAAAGTGATGATATCAAACCTTTTTTCTCTTTCTCTCGCTTTCTTTCATATATGATTACCAGAAAGAGGACAAATCATGGCCTACACTGCGACTTCTTTTTAACAACATATTGGCTTCAAAGAAGCCACTGACCCTCCACAATGGTCTCGTAGACCTTGTGTTCCTGTACCAGAATTTTTATACAGACCTTCCGCCCTCTAGTGCCCAGTTCATTGCAGATCTTTACGAGATGTACTCTGGCGGGATCATAGACACCAAGTATGTGGCAGAGTATGAAGCTAGGATGCCTTCGTCTTACCTGGAATATGTCTTTAGGAAAAGGTATGATCCCTTAGATATTAGTGAGCAATACACTTTGGTAAAACAATATAGTAGCACAATGCCAGGGTTTAACTTTCAGGAAAAGCATTGCTGTTTGGTACTAGGCATCAATACCAATCTATCCAATTTATAAACCATAAAGCATCTAATCGCAACTATGTATATAAGAGATAGGAGACTGCAAACTTGTGATTGATTTGGATCAATCGCAACTCTTTGTAAGACTTGGCCCAAACCTGCTTGCTATGGATCGATTGGATCAAGATCTAGGAATTTATAGTCTTGATATCGTAGGGCCTTTTTATTTGCTAGTGTGATAATATCGTTGTTATTTTCACATGATTTATAAACAATTTTATAGAATACATCACATTTTTGCTTCATATGCAATCCCTCCAATCGTGATCAATAGCTCCTCCCCTCCCTCCCCTTTTCAAAAAAAAAAAAAAAAAAAAGAATATTGATTTAATTGATAACTTGATAATCATCAAGCTGAGACTTAGGGAGGTAATGTTAAAGACTTTATAAACTAGTGATTGAAATTTAAGATGAAATCCTTGAGAGTGCTTTTTATATGCCCTGTCCAATTTTTTTTGACATTTGTACAGAGTAGATTAATTTCTTTGCATCTTCTTATTTCAGTCAAAGAGACAATGCCATAAGAAAGACTAAAGGGCTCCACCATGCATCAGTAGTCTTCTGCCAGTACTCTCCTGAGATGAATGCTGTAGAATACCAGAGCTACCTGCTCCCTCCTGACTTTGAAGAGAGGCAAAACGGAGGAACTCCTGGAAACAAGTCTACAGAGATTTGTGAAATTTATGCGGTATGTGGTTGATTGTCAGTATTAGTATCTGTTGTATCAAGGTTAAGTGCAAAGCAGATTTTGAGCACTGAGCAGGGCAGAAAATCCAGACCAAAATGGTCTAAGTTTTGTCATTTGATAAGGACATTATGGGCATTGAATAGAGGTTCACTGTTGTATGACATGTGGCTTCAGAATCGTTCAAACCTTTTCTGTCTCCTTCTTTTCATAAAAGTAATAAGTTTAAAAAAATTATGATCATTATGGAAATCTTGGCAAAGTTGCCAAAGGGTCTCCCATTGAATGCTGTATTACTTGAAAAGTGTAATCACTGTTATATCTTTTCTCAAATTTACTGAACAGTTTCTCAAAGTTTTCTCTCTTTTTTCAAGATCAGATCTGAGATTTGTAATTATGTCAAATTATATCTTTAAAATATCACCAAATGGGAAAACTTTCTCATTGTTTAAACCTGTACACTGTTCTATTAACAGTTCAGATTATACTTCATGTATCTTGTTTCATTCTTATATGATCAATCAGGCCCATGGATGCTGTGGCAAAGGAATCCACTGTCCAAAGTCGCATGACCCTAACGCAATCCTAGACGCTGAAGAGATCATCGTCGAGGACAAGCGTAAGCGTAAGAGGAGAAGGAGAAATCGCAAGAACAGAAACCAAGAAGTGGATGTCGTGGATGGAGAGACTGATAAAAAAAAGATGAAAGAGAGAGAGGGAGAGGGAGAAGAAAAGCAAAAAGAGGGGAACATGAACGGAGGTGGCGCTGCACCTGAAGGAAACGAAGCAGTTAGTGAAGAAAGTGTTCCAGTGGTGGATGGTGATAAACCTTCTGATTTTACCGAGGCAAATGATACTGAAGGTGCAACTGAGTCGGGTCCTCTACCAAACGGTGCCGATGGGCCTAAGAGGACAGAGCCAAAGGGTATTGTACCAAAGAAAAGCGGGAGTCATCGGGCCGGGTTTGATGCCTTCATGACTGGCTTTGCTACGGCAGCCTTCATCGCAAGATTCGGGTCAACAGATACACCAGAGGGCGCCATTCAACTGCAAAATTCAACAACTAGACAGAAGCAAGGTGGACAGCTTACCAGTCGGGTAGGACAGCTGGACCAGGCAGAGTCTTGCATGGAGCGACACGGCATCGGTCATTTGACCAATAAGCTTTACCTGAGCGGGAAGGACTATCCTTTAGCTGTGGCCAAGAGTTCCTTCACCAAGACTTCCACGCTGCATAAGGACAAGATGGATATGATTATTAAGTTGATGGCGAGTTGAGGATATAGATGGGTGACCAGACAGGAATTACCTACAAAGTAGAAGTGTCGTGGTCTACTCTAGTGGATATATACATCACCGGACTGTGGATCACATAGTTCGCAGTTTGAGTCCTGCCGCAGCACCAATGTCCTTTGGCAAGACATTAATCGACATTTGCCACTCTACACCCAGGTGAAGTAAATGGGTACCCAATAGGAAAGAATTCCTTGAATGCTTTAGCGCCTTATTATGGCAGCTCAGCTACAACCAGGGTAATGATATATATGATGCGCAGTAGAGTATATTCATATACAATGAAGTAGCTGTGCTATATAAATGGACCCATTATAGTATTACTACCTCTAGCCTGAATTTTTTTTTTATCCAAGCTATTAAAATATACGTTTGGGCCTAACCTGAAGGAGCTGGACCATGTAGTTATAAACACTGAATAATGAGTCTTACAGTATTCATGTGTTTTAACATGTTTTTTGTGTGTGAAAGGACAACCAGTTTGTTTTAGGTATTTTGGCTAGGGTCAATCAAAGATATGTTCACCAAAATCATATTTTACATCTTCACAATTTACCAGGTTAACTTCTATTGATTAAACCATTGGATATGATTTTTTTTTCAGTGTAACATGATTTCCTGTAGACTCTAGCCCAAGTTTTTTTTTACTTAATATTCAGGAGTTAAGCCTGAAGAAAATACTGTTGTGATGTCAGTTTGGGATAGCAAATAATAGTCTATTGTCTTAGATCATAATTTTGATCAATCAAACACATATTGTGACATATCTTGTGAGATCCTTCCAATTCGCTCCGTATTTAAAAAAGTTTAGAAAAATCTTTTTTCCCTAAAGTAAGGTTAAGTCATACATGCCCCCTACGTATAATTATTGCAAATATGTCTTCTGTACATTTATACAACCCCTGTATTAAAACAAATATATTCCATCATCAATAACTAAGAAAATGAAAGTTTACAAATTTTCTGTACAGAGCATTTTTGAGAGGGCCTCGCAAGGTTTGTCCCATTGTTGCCAATTTGTATTTCATAGAATACCATTACAAAAATTCATAACTCTCTTATTATTCAAATCGGATTTCACTCAAACTTTTACTGATCTGTTCT